CCTAGTCAGATGATAAGCCGCCGTTAGAGCTTTTGGTCATCTGACCGAGGCCTTCCACTGGCTTACCCCTCCACCCCCTTTAATCTGCATCCCAGCTTAGCGAATTTAACGTAGCTCCTAAAATAACCACTGAAAAAACTTGAATACCGTTTCAGAAGTATTATCAGTAGCATAAGGATAAATTTTAACATCTACAACATATAAAAAAAGCCTCTAAATATCTGAAAATGAAATAAATACATTAAAATATAACAATCCTACGTAACATATTTAAATCCTAAACATTAGTCTATTTATACATTTTGTCTGCATAATTTATATCATAAATAGTTAAACATTATCAGAAAAAACCTGGAAGTTTATATTGACTTGTACAAGACAGGTATTGACCAGACTAATTAACATGGATAAATATTGTCTCTTTGACGATACCTGTACAACCCTGACGATACCTGTACAACCCTGACGATACCTGTACAACCCTGACGATACCTGTACAACCCTGACGATACCTGTACAACCCTGACGATACCTGTACAACCCTGACGATACCTGTACAACCCTGACGATACCTGTACAACCCTGACGATACCTGTACAACCCTGACGATACCTGTACAACCCTGACGATACCTGTACAACCCTGATGATACCTGTACAACCCTGACGATACCTGTACAACCCTGATGATACCTGTACAACCCTGACGATACCTGTACAACCCTGACGATACCTGTACAACCCTGACGATACCTGTACAACCCTGACGATACCTGTACAACCCTGACGATACCTGTACAACCCTGACGATACCTGTACAACCCTGACGATACTTGTACAACCCTGACGAATACCTGTACAACCCTGACGATACCTGTTTCAACCCTGACGATACCTGTACAACCCTGACGATACCTGTACAACCTGACGATACCTGTACAACCCTGACGATACCTGTACAACCCTGATGATACCTGTACAACCCTGACGATACCTGTACAACCCTGATGATACCTGTACAACCCTGACGATACCTGTACAACCCTGACGATACCTGTACAACCCTGACGATACCTGTACAACCCTGACGATACCTGTACAACCCTGACGATACCTGTACAACCCTGACGATACCTGTACAACCCTGACGATACCTGTACAACCCTGACGATACCTGTACAACCCTGACGATACCTGTACAACCCTGATGATACCTGTACAACCCTGATGATACCTGTACAACCCTGACGATACCTGTACAACCCTGACGATACCTGTACAACCCTGACGATACCTGTACAACCCTGATGATACATGTACAACCCTGACGATACCTGTACAACCCTGACGATACCTGTACAACCCTGACGATACCTGTACAACCCTGATGATACCTGTACAACCCTGATGATACCTGTACAACCCTGACGATACCTGTACAACCCTGACGATACCTGTACAACCCTGACGATACCTGTACAACCCTGACGATACCTGTACAACCCTGACGATATCTGTACAACCCTGACGATACCTGTACAACCCTGACGATACCTGTACAACCCTGACGATACCTGTACAACCCTGACGATACCTGTACAACCCTGACGATACCTGTACAACCCTGATGATACCTGTACAACCCTGACGATACCTGTACAACCCTGACGATACCTGTACAACCCTGACGATACCTGTGCAACCCTGACGATACCTGTACAACCCTGACGATACCTGTATAACCTTGACGATACCTGCACAACCCTGATGTTATCTGTACAACCCTGACGATACCTGTACAACCCTGACGATACATGTATAACCTTGACGATACCTGTACAACCCTGATGATACCTGTACAACCCTGACGATACCTGTACAACCCTGATGATACCTGTACAACCCTGATGTTATCTGTACAACCCTGACGATACCTGTACAACCCTGACGATACATGTATAACCTTGACGATACCTGTACAACCCTGATGATACCTGTACAACCCTGATGTTATCTGTACAACCCTGACGATACCTGTACAACCCTGATGATACCTGTACAACCCTGATGATACCTGTACAACCCTGATGTTATCTGTACAACCCTGACGATACCTGTACAACCCTGACGATACATGTATAACCTTGACGATACCTGTACAACCCTGATGATACCTGTACAACCCTGATGTTATCTGTACAACCCTGACGATACCTGTACAACCCTGATGATACCTGTACAACCCTGACGATACCTGTACAACCCTGATGTTATCTGTACAACCCTGACGATACCTGTACAACCCTGACGATACCTGTATAACCCTGACGATACATGTATAACCTTGACTATACCTGTACAACCCTGATAATACATGTACAACCCTCACGATACATGTATAACCTTGACGATACCTGTACAACCCTGATGATACCTGTACAACCCTGACGATACCTGTACAACCCTGACGATACCTGTACAACCCTGATGATACCTGTACAACCCTGACGATACCTGTACAACCCTGACGATACCTGTACAACCCTGATGATACATGTACAACCCTGATGATACCTGTACAACCCTGACGATACCTGTACAACCCTGATGATACCTGTACAACCCTGACGATACCTGTACAACCCTGATGATACTGTACAACCCTGACGATACCTGTACAACCCTGGCGATACCTGTACAACCCTGACGATACCTGTACAACCCTGACGATACCTGTACAACCCTGACGATACCTGTACAACCCTGATGATACCTGTACAACCCTGACGATACCTGTACAACCCTGATGATACCTGTACAACCCTGACGATACCTGTACAACCCTGACGATACCTGTACAACCCTGATGATACCTGTACAACCCTGACGATACATGTACAACCCTGACGATACCTGTACAACCCTGATGATACCTGTACAACCCTGACGATACCTGTACAACCCTGATGATACCTGTACAACCCTGACGATACCTGTACAACCCTGACGATACCTGTACAACCCTGATGATACCTGTACAACCCTGATGATCCTGTACAACCCTGACGATACCTGTACAACCCTGACGATACCTGTACAACCCTGACGATACCTGTACAACCCTGATGATACCTGTACAACCCTGACGATACCTGTACAACCCTGACGATACCTGTACAACCCTGATGATACATGTACAACCCTGACGATACCTGTACAACCCTGATGATACCTGTATAACCCTGACGATACCTGTACAACCCTGACGATACCTGTACAACCCTGATGATACCTGTACAACCCTGACGATACCTGTACAACCCTGATGATACATGTACAACCCTGATGATACCTGTATAACCCTGACGATACCTGTACAACCCTGACGATACCTGTACAACCCTGATGATACCTGTACAACCCTGATGATACCTGTATAACCTTGACGATACCTGTACAACCCTGATGATACCTGTATAACCTTGACGATACCTGTACAACCCTGATGATACATGTACAACCCTGATGATACCTGTATAACCCTGACGATACCTGTACAACCCTGACGATACCTGTACAACCCTGATGATACCTGTACAACCCTGATGATACCTGTATAACCTTGACGATACCTGTACAACCCTGATGATACCTGTACAACCCTGACGATACCTGTACAACCCTGACGATACCTGTATAACCTTGACGATACCTGCACAACCCTGATGATACCTGTACAACCCTGATGATACCTGTACAACCCTGATGATACCTGTACAACCCTGACGATACCTGTACAACCCTGACGATACCTGTACAACCTTGATGATACATGTACAACCCTGATGATACCTGTACAACCCTGACGATACCTGTACAACCCTGAAGATACCTGTACAACCCTGATGATACCTGTACAACCCTGATGATACCTGTACAACCCTGATGATACCTGTACAACCCTGACGATACCTGTACAACCCTGGCGATACCTGTATAACCCTGACGATACCTGTACAACCCTGACGATACCCGTACAACCCTGGAGTTTACCTGGAGTTTACCTGGAGAGAGTTCCGGGGGTCAACGCCCCCGCGGCCCGGTCTGTGACCAGGCCTCCTGGTGGATCAGAGCCTGATCAACCAGGCTGTTACTGCTGGCTGCACGCAAACCAACGTACGAGCCACAGCCCGGCTGATCAGGAACCGACTTTAGGTGCTTGTCCAGTGCCAGCTTGAAGACTGCCAGGGGTCTGTTGGTAATCCCCCTTATGTATGCTGGGAGCAGTTGAAACCCGTCTCGGGCCGATGACACTATTGTATGGTCCTCTAACGTGCTAGTGACAACCCCTGCTTTCATTGTGGGGGATGTTGCATCTCCCGCCAAGTCTTTGCTTCGTAGTGAGTGATTTTCGTGTGCAAGTTCGTACTAGTCCCTAGGATTTCCAGGTGTATAAATCATGTATCTCTCTCGCCTGGTTCCAGGGAATAGAGGTTGTCAGGAACTTCAAGCGCTCCAGTAATTGAGATGTTTTTCTCCGTTATGCGCGCCGTGAAAGTTCTCTGTACATTTTCTAGGTCGCAATTTCACCTGCCTTGAAGGTGCTGTTAGTGTGAGCAAATTCCAGCCTAGATAGAACAGTGACCTGAAGAGTGTCATCATGGACTTGGCCTCCCTAGTTTGAAGGTTTCATTATCCCCCTGTCATTTTCTAGCAGATGCGATTGATACAATGTTATGGTCTCGAAGGTGAGATCCTCCGACATGATCCTCCCAGGTCTTTGACGTGTGTGTTTCGCTCTATTTTGTGCCAGAATTGTTTTGTACTCTGATGAAGATTTAATTTCCTCGTGTTTACCATATCTGAGTAATTGAATTTCTCATCGTGAACTTCATATGTTTCTGCAGCCACTGAAGATTCGGTGATGTCCGCCTGGAGCCTTGCAGGTGTCTGCAATGAAGCACTGTCATGCAGATCGGTGTCATCTGCAAAGGAAGACACGGTGCTGTGGCTGACATCCTTGTCTATGTCGGATATGAGGATGAGGAACAAGATGGGAGCGAGTACTGTGCCTTGTGGAACAGAGCTTTTCACCGTAGCTGCCTCGGACTTTACTCTGTTGACGACTACTCTCTGTGTTCTGTTAGTGAGGAAATTATAGATCCATCGACCAAGTTTTCCTGTTATTCCTTTAGCACGCATTTTGTGCGCTATTACGGCATGGTCACACTTGTCGAAGGCTTTTGCAAAGTCTATATATTACATCTGCATTCTTTTTGTCTTCTAGTCTTCTGATGTCTACCATGTACTCTGTCTCCGTCTATCTGTCTTTCTCTCTGTCTCACCGTAATCCATGTATAGGAGTTACCTGAGGTGACAGCGGAGGGCGGAGAGGCAGTAGGTGAAGAGGTTGGTTGGTGTCTGGGTGACTCTGGGTTCTCCACTGGCGTCAGCTGGCGCTCCAGACCTGAGGTATACCAGGCATCTGTCAGTTCTCCATACCCACACTGCATCTCAAACATCACTTTACCCACACTGCATCTCAAACATCACTTCACCCACACTACATCTCACACATCACCTCACCCACAGTGCATCTCAAACATCACTTCACCCACACTGCATCTCAAACATCACCTCACCCACACTGCATCTAACACATCACCTCACCCACACTGCATCTCAAACTTCACTTCACCCACACTGCATCTCACACATCACCTCACCCACACTGCATCTCACACATCACCTCACCCACACTGTATCTCAAGCATCACTTCACCCACACTGCATCTCACACATCACCTCACCCACACTGCATCTCACACATCACCTCACCCACACTGTATCTCAAGCATCACCTCACCCACACTGCATCTCACACATCACCTCACCCACACTGCATCTCAAACATCACTTCACCCAAACTGCATCTCACACCTCACCTCACCCACACTGCATCTCACACATCACCTCACCCACACTGCATCTCACACATCACCTCACCCACACTGCATCTCAAACATCACTTCACCCAAACTGCATCTCACACCTCACCTCACCCACATTGCATCTCACATCACCTCACCCACACTGCATCTCACACATCACTTCACCCACACTGCATCTCACACATCACCTCACCCACACTGCATCTCAAACATCACTTCACCCACACTGCATCTCACACATCACCTCACCTACACTGCATCTCACACATCACCTCACCCACACTGTATCTCAAGCATCACTTCACCCACACTGCATCTTACACATCACCTCACCCACACTGCATCTCAAACATCACTTCACCCACACTGCATCTCACACATCACCTCACCTACACTGCATCTCACACATCACCTCACCCACACTGTATCTCAAGCATCACTGCACCCACACTGCATCTCACACATCACCTCACCCACACTGCATCTGAAACATCACTTCACCCAAACTGCATCTCACACCTCACCTCACCCACACTGCATCTCACACATCACCTCACTCACACTGCATCTCACACATCACCTCACCCACACTGCATCTCACGCATCACTTCACCCACACTGCATCTCAAACATCACTTCACCCACACTGCATCTCACAGCTTAACCTATTCCCGTTTCCATAAAGTTAGATTTTAAAATTCTCTATAGTCAAAAATACCTGCCTGACACAAACTGATTTCATACGTGACTGCTAAAGGTCGTGTTCATACTCGGCAGTTATCATCAGTCTTTAACAACAACACTAACAAACTGATATGCTACAGAGTTATCACCTATCAACACGACTCACCAAATCGTAATGACACGATTGCAAACAAACCATACCACGGGTGGGGTTAGAACCCGCGATCAGTCACAAAACTCCAGACCGTCGCGTTAGCTGGTCCAGTGGCTAACGCGACGGTCTGGAGTTTTGTGACTGATCGCGGGTTCTAACCCCACCCGTGGTATGGTTTATCATCAGTCTTTAATAACACCAGTAAACTAACGTGCTACAGTTATCACCAGTATTAATAACACCAGCAACATGTAGAGAACACATCTGGTCAGGGATACCAGTGATGGCCAGGACAACCTGGCCATCACTTGTCGTGGATACAGGTGGTATCCAGAACGGTGAAGCTACACTTTGTTAGTGATACAGGTGAGATAAGATTTATTCGGATTTTTAACCCAGGGGAAAGAAGGGTTTGCCACCCGGGATAACCCAAGAAAGTCAGTACGTAATCGAAGACTCTTATTGTGGCCCTTTAATCTTGTCACTCAGGATGCTACCCACACCAGTCGACTAACAACCAGGTACCTACTTACTGCTAGGTGAACAGTGACAGCAGATGTAAAGAAACATGCTGAACGTTTCCACCGTGCCGGGATTCAAGCACGGACAGTGTGAGGCGAGTGTTCCCCTACAACACCTGGTCAGTAATGTGGGTAGCAGTCAATTAAACACACTTGGTCAGCGCCAGTAGCACTGCAGCTGGTGACTTACGTGGCTCATGGGGAGACTGGCCGGACCTGGAACTAGCGGAGAGTCGCTTGGCCACGGCAGGCACCGGAGGGGAGGCGGAGCGAGGAACCGAAGTGGGCCGAGGTGAAGCTACCAGTTCCTCACTTCTTGAAGGAGTGATGGGCGGCAGGCGGCGAGGTGTGGGCGGTCGAGAGCTGGGTGAGAGAGGCTGGCTGCTGCTTCCACCACCCACGTTACATTCTCCATTTATTCGTCCTGAAAATTTTTTTTGTTTTAAATTTTATGTTTTACTGTCAATAAATTATCAAAAGTTAAAACGTCTAGCCGGGAGAAAAACTTGTGATTGATCTCACTTTTTAAACATTATGATACACCGGTTGTCTGTGTTCCCCATCAATAAAGTAGGTACCTGTGTGTTAGTGGACTGGTGTGGGTCGCATCCTGGGGACAAAATTGACCTAATTTGCGGGAAATGTTCAGCATACCAAGCAACTTTCTATACAGTAGTATGTCACTGATGTCAGCTATGGTCTGTATACCTTGTACATGTACTGGTAGAAATAAATATCATTACATGCTACTCCCTTGTACAGGGTAATGTGTAACCTTCCCTATATATTCATTTTCTCTTTTCACTTATGTATCTGCTGAAGAGGACCCCAGAAGGGGATCAAAATATACAGAACAATTAATCTTATGTGTTTCTGTCTGAATGTGGGTTATTATGGAACATTATTAAATACATTCACATTTTACAAACAGTATGGTCACTTATTGTCAAAAAATGACGATTTAACCAAATTATTATTGGTTTATTTCTAATGTAGGTTTCTATGTATCTTATGTATCACACATATAATAAGGCTACAGAGTATAGGAAGACAATTAATATAATTAAGCCTTAATTCATATAAACAGTGAGAGATATGTATTTATTAGTGTACTATCTAGGCTATATACGAAGCTTCATGTAATCTCAGTCTTAGAGATTAAAGTATTACTGATGTTAGTCTCTATGTGGATCTGTACATTACTGAATCTTATTAAAATGATAGACCTTAACTCTTGCAGGTTTTTTTTCATTAGGAATATTTTATGGTGATACCATCAAGTACAGTGTTGCACCTCACAGGTTTCATAATACCACCAAGTACAGTGTTGCACCTCACAGGTTTTATAATACCATCAAGTACAGTGTTGCACCTCACAGGTTTCATAATACCACCAAGTACAGTGTTGCACCTCACAGGTTTTATAATACCATCAAGTACAGTGTTGCACCTCACAGGTTTCATAATACCACCAAGTACAGTGTTGCACCTCACAGGTTTTATAATACCATCAAGTACAGTGTTGCACCTCACAGGTTTTATAATACCATCAAGTACAGTGTTGCACCTCACAGGTTTCATAATACCACCAAGTACAGTGTTGCACCTCACAGGTTTTATAATACCATCAAGTACAGTGTTGCACCTCACAGGTTTCATAATACCATCAAGTACAGTGTTGCACCTCACAGGTTTTATAATACCACCAAGTACAGTGTTGCACCTCACAGGTTTTATAATACCATCAAGTACAGTGTTGCACCTCACAGGTTTCATAATACCACCAAGTACAGTGTTGCACCTCACAGGTTTTATAATACCATCAAGTACAGTGTTGCACCTCACAGGTTTCATAATACCACCAAGTACAGTGTTGCACCTCACAGGTTTTATAATACCATCAAGTACAGTGTTGCACCTCACAGGTTTTATAATACCATCAAGTACAGTGTTGCACCTCACAGGTTTCATAATACCATCAAGTACAGTGTTGCACCTCACAGGTTTTATAATACCATCAAGTACAGTGTTGCACCTCACAGGTTTTATAATACCATCAAGTACAGTGTTGCACCTCACAGGTTTCATAATACCATCAAGTACAGTGTTGCACCTCACAGGTTTTATAATACCATCAAGTACAGTGTTGCACCTCACAGGTTTCATAATACCATCAAGTACAGTGTTGCACCTCACAGGTTTTATAATACCATCAAGTACAGTGTTGCACCTCACAGGTTTTATAATACCATCAAGTACAGTGTTGCACCTCACAGGTTTTATAATACCATCAAGTACAGTGTTGCACCTCACAGGTTTTATAATACCATCAAGTACAGTGTTGCACCTCACAGGTTTTATAATACCATCAAGTACAGTGTTGCACCTCACAGGTTTTATAATACCATCAAGTACAGTGTTGCACCTCACAGGTTTTATAATACCATCAAGTACAGTGTTGCACCTCACAGGTTTTATAATACCATCAAGTACAGTGTTGCACCTCACAGGTTTCATAATACCACCAAGTACAGTGTTGCACCTCACAGGTTTTATAATACCATCAAGTACAGTGTTGCACCTCACAGGTTTTATAATACCATCAAGTACAGTGTTGCACCTCACAGGTTTCATAATACCATCAAGTACAGTGTTGCACCTCACAGGTTTTATAATACCATCAAGTACAGTGTTGCACCTCACAGGTTTTATAATACCATCAAGTACAGTGTTGCACCTCACAGGTTTCATAATACCATCAAGTACAGTGTTGCACCTCACAGGTTTTATAATACCATCAAGTACAGTGTTGCACCTCACAGGTTTCATAATACCATCAAGTACAGTGTTGCACCTCACAGGTTTTATAATACCATCAAGTACAGTGTTGCACCTCACAGGTTTTATAATACCATCAAGTACAGTGTTGCACCTCACAGGTTTTATAATACCATCAAGTACAGTGTTGCACTTCACAAACTTCGCAATATAGCTGCTGTCTCTTCCATATGACGATCATCTTTACTAGCAGCATCTTTCTAGCTTCTACACCTCCCAGCATCACCCCTTCAAGAAGGATGGAGGGAGGGGACCGACCCACACCAACAACCATTCAACACTCACCACTTGACACAGCACCACAAGTTACACTTCTCACCTGACCTTGCAGCACCACAAGTTACACTCCTTACCTGACCTCGCAGCACCACAAGTTACACTCCTTACCTGACCTTGCAGCACCACAAGTTACACTCCTTACCTGACCTTGCAGCACCACAAGTTACACTCCTTACCTGACCTTGCAGCACCACAAGTTACACTCCTTACCTGACCTTGCAGCACCACAAGTTACACTTCTCACCTGACCTTGCAGCACCACAAGTTACACTCCTTACCTGACCTTGCAGCACCACAAGTTACACTCCTTACCTGACCTCGCAGCACCACAAGTTACACTTCTCACCTGACCTTGCAGCACCACAAGTTACACTCCTTACCTGACCTTGCAGCACCACAAGTTACACTCCTTACCTGACCTTGCAGCACCACAAGTTACACTCCTTACCTGACCTCGCAGCACCACAAGTTACACTCCTTACCTGACCTCGCAGCACCACAAGTTACACTCCTTACCTGACCTTGCAGCACCACAAGTTACACTCCTCACCTGACCTTGCAGCACCACAAGTTACACTCCTTACCTGACCTCGCAGCACCACACACCATTTAAACATTGACCATCTCTGTCTGTCTGTCTGTCTCTGTCTGTCTGTCTGTCTGTCTGTCTGTCTGTCTGTCTGTCTGTCTGTCTGTCTGTCTCTCTCTCTCTCTCTCTCTCTCTCTCTCTCTCTCTCTCTCTCTCTCTCTCTCTCTCTCTCTCTTTTTACACATGGTTTGAGACAAGGTTAAGGATCCCTAGCTTTATTGACAAGCTATTTACAGGTTAAGGATTCCTAACTTTATTGGCAAGCTAAGAGCTGTTACCTACATCAGCTCATTTGAAAGCATTTTTATTGTTAAAAGACATACAAGTAGGGAACAGGATGAAGTTGGAGCCATCTGTGGGCCAGCATTTTCATTTGATCAACTGACTTTATCTCGTTGACATCATTATGCTGTACGAATGTGTTCCATACTCGAGTCATCCTGGGTATGTATGATCTCAGATGGAGTGATGTTCTGGAGAAGGGTACAGCCAGAGTGAAGTTGCTGCTTTCTGCCCGTCTTGTGGCATAAAAGCTTGATTTACGCTGTCCTCTAAGTGGATCCAAGTGTGGTATTTTGACAATATTGGCCTTGTACATAACAGCAAGGCCACCCACATCCCTCCTGTGTTGAAGGCTCTGCTGAAATGACAGATCTATCCAGGATGGGTCCAGGCGAGAGATGAGACGTCTTGCTCTGTTCTCTACTCTGTCAAGCAGTCGCAGATGAGAGGGGGGGGGCAGGCAAACCAAGAAAGTGGAGCATACTCAAGGTGTGAACGTACTTGTGCCTCGTACAGGATCTTGCAACCCCTACTGTCAAGCAGATGCGAGATACGGTGAAGTGCTGTAAGCTTCCTGGCTGCCTTGTTTGCAAGATTTACAACATGGTTCTTCATGGTTAGTTTGGAGTCAAATTTCACCCCAAGGATATCAACTTCTTCTCCAGGTGCCAACACCCTCCCATTCATCCTTACTACTGCACCAGCATTACCATCATGGTGCCTAGAGACGATCATCATTTGCGTTTTCTCAGGTGCAAATGTTACTTGTCATCTATTTCCCCAAGCTGATATAGCTCTCAGCTGGTGATTGATGTAGCTTAGAGCAGCTGGCATTTCTTCTCTTGGATAAGTGAATGTCAGTGTACAGTCGTATTCATATGCATGTGATTCTGGGATGAGATGAAGAAGGTCGTTGAAGTAGACATTCCATAACAATGGACCCAGCACGCTTCCTTGTGGAACACTTGCCCCAATAGGATGTCTTGCTGATTCCGTTCCATTGAGAACTACACTTAGAGATCTACCATGAAGGTAATCACTGAGGAGACATAGCGTAGAGCCTGCAATTCCCAGTGCTTGAAGTTTTGCTAAGAGGCCCTGGTGCCACACCCGGTCGAAAGCGCCAGCAATGTCCAGTGCTACCACACAGCTGACTTTGGATTCATCCAGTGACTGGTGCCACTTAGTGGAGAGGTTTAACAACAGATCAGCAGCAGAGTAACCTTTCCTGAAGCCATATTGACGATCACAAAGTAGTGAGTGGTAGTCAAAAAACTTTGTCATTTGTCTTGAGATTATTGTCTCAAGGATCTTACCAGTGATTGACAGGAGTGACACTGGTCTGTAGTTGCTGATTTCTGCTCTGCTCTTCTTTTTGTGAACAGGGACTACATTTGCCTCTTTCCATAGAGAGGGCCATTTACACTGTACTAGGC